CCAATCTCATCCAATGGAATATTGACAACTGATTACTGCTAGATGAGGAAAGCTGATCCTCGTAAGACCTCTAGATAGGCCGACTAGATTCACCAGAAGGGCAAGTAGTGGGGAATGGCTGGGGGTGACGACAACACAGCAGACAGTAGCAGGGATATCAGCATATAAGGGCTCTAGTTGGGGGAGGGAGGTAGGGAGGGTGCTATCTGGGAAGTGGGTGTAAAAATAAATAAAAAAAAAAGAGTTCCTTAGCAATCTCATTTTAATTCTACCTTTGTCCTTGCCCTATGAGAACTTAGGTGGAACTTCGATTTTAAAGTTATTTTCCATACTTTGTCATCTTGGGTAAGGCTAGGTTTAAAAAAAAACGTTAAGAAAGAAGAATGTAATTATGGAAGAAATGTTATGTTTATTTATAATTTAGTAAGGGGAACTCATTTCTTAGTTTTTTAGAATACTGGTAATTGATAATTCATGTTCTGTGAGTTCATTTAGGAAGCCAAAAGGAATTAGAAAACAAAAATGCGCAAAAATTGAAAACAGGAAAAATTCCGGGTAGTATCACAAACATATTTTATGCTCATCAGAACATAAGTGGTTAAAAACTTATAATTATCTAAATGGTAAATGACCTATCTGAGATTCACACCTTTTACCAAGAAACAGACCACGTTTTGTTGCAGAAGGCTTGTAAGTCTAGAATGCTGGGAGAAGCTAAGAAAAAATGGAGAGTAAGAATCATCTCAAAGGAAAGGGAACAGAAAAAGTAGAAATTTTTAAAAAAGGTATTTGCCATCTGTGCTTTTCTAAAAGATGCCAGGCAGCCCCCAGGCTGATGGTTAGGGATGCTCCTCTCACAAGCCCTGGAAGGTGTCCCACCAGGATTCCCCACTTGGAGGATAAAGAGCAGCAGATGGGATCCTGTGACTGTCATGAGGTTACGTGGCAATGGAAGGCCATGAGGCGGTGCAGCCCACTGTGACTCAGTTAACATTTCCTTTCTTTTCTTTCATTCCCCTTAATGAACTCTTTATTACAGGCTAGGTCCCCATCCCAAAGCACTACTTGTAATGGTCTTATTCTTGTACTTTAGTTTTATATTTCTCTCTTTAAAAAATATTATTTATTTTTCTAACCTTAGAAGTTTGAGAAAGGTATTTTTGTAATTTGTTAACAAAGGATTTGCAGCTGTCCTACAAAAATGTCAAAATCTAAGCACTAAGATTCTGTTATTGAAAGTGTTATATTCATGGGCATAGTAGTAAATCTGTGTGGCTTTAAAGAAGACAGTACTGCCAAACCTGGAAATTTATTGATATATTAAAGTTGCATTGCTCTGAAACTTTTCTAAGTTTGGAATTGCTGTACTTTAAATCTGTGCTTTTTGTCAGTATACAAATCTTTGATAGAAAATAAGAATTTCACAAATTTTCCAAATAAGATATCTGACATATATACATAATCTCCTGTTTAATATATAAATGCATAATCTCACTGGATATTTGTTGCAGAAATATAAAGGTTGTTTTTATGTTTTTGTGTAGTTATAAAAACTTTAGCATCCAGGTAATTCTTATATTAAGAAGTCCCCTGAAAATTCTAGAGACATAAATACATTTGGGGCATATTTTGTTTTCTTTCAGTTATGAATAACATAGCAAGCACACTGAAAAAAAATAAAGCTCATTGAAATAGGTTTTACCTAGCTTCGAAGGCTTTCCATTTTCATTATGTTTTAGTAGACTGCCTCCTAAACATGCAGTGAGCACATCAAATTATCCTCTGCTTGCCATGACGATGGACACTGCCTGCTCTGGAGTTAGGCTCTCACTGCCAGCATCATTAAGAGAGTCTTCAAATTACTTTTGAAACATACTTTTCCCTCAGGATTTTCACTTATGCCTAATTAGACTACTAACTACATGCCATGTAATCCCCATTGCCAAAACTGCTAAATGCTTCAATAAGTAGGAGGAGGGCATCAATGGAGCAAGACAGATGTAATGTCACTGGTTAACAATAGAGGTGTGAAGCAGCTGCCTTAATTACGAAGCTTATTAATTCAGGGTGTTAAAAAAGACTTGGCAAGAGTTCTTACAAAATACCCAACCTTTTCAAAATAGCATCAGATGGTTTAAGATTTCAAATATATGTTTTCAATAAGGAATACTGAAGTGATTATTTTGTCAGTAGTTAATATTTGTATTTAATATTTATAAACTAGATTATAAGACCATACATAGTGCTAAAATTAATTCATTATTTTTTAAAGTATATGATCTGTAAGTTAATGCTTAAAATTTTTTTACAGATAGAACTGAATCACAGGATAAAAATAAAATATGTCTAAGAAAAGTAAGGTATACGAGACAGAGTTCTAAAGAACTACTTTATTCCAGGAAACAACTTAATATTACTATAATTTGTTTTAATTATTTACATATTAATACATGAAAAGTTATTTGATGCTTATAAATAGTGTATAAATTGCCAAGCATATAGTAGATGCTCAATTAAAAATTAATACTTTAATGGATGTATTGGAAAGACAAAATTGAAACAAGTGGGTTCCTACTGTATAATAAAATTAGTGAGAGGAAGTAGTCTTTATTAGACTCTTCAGCCTTATACCTACAATGGATTTCTTTACTCTCATTTAAAGACAATGATATAAAAAAGTATAAACCAGAAAGTGTCTAACTTCTAGGAAAGAAAAGCAAGAAAAAAAATGAAATCTCCAAAGAATGCTTAGAAGAGAGAAAACATTAGTGGAAGTCTATTTCTATTTTTAGTGTTAGCCAGAATAAAAATTTCATATAATGGTGTAATAATCAGAAATTACCACCCAGAAGTACAATAGGCTGTGAAAAAAAAAATGTGCACAATAGTCTTAAGGATAAAAATATCCCTAAAGAACCTACAAGGGCAAACATTAAAAAAAGACATGCAAATGCCAGGTAGGTTTAGTCCTGATACATGCTGTGCTGGTTAGTTTTTGTCAGCCTGACATAACTAGAGTTGGCTGAGAAAAGGGAACTTCCACCGATGAATTTCCCAGCTCAGACTGGCTTGTGGCTATGTCTGTGAAGCATTTTCTTAATTGCTAGTCGATGTGGGAGGGACATAGGCAGTGCCATCCCTAGGCAGGTAGACCTGAACTGTACAAAAAAGATAGCTGAGCAACCCAGAAGGCAGTGTTCCTTCATGGTCTCTGTTTAGTTCCTGCCTTGAGTTCCTGTCCTGGCTTTCCTTGCTAAAGGATTGTAACCTGTAAGATGTAATAAACCTTTTTCTGCCTAAGTTGATTTTTGTCAGTATTTTCTCACAGCAATGAGGAGCAAACCGTAACACCCATCTTCTTGAATTTCCTGGTTTGTAAAGAAATGGTCTCACATCATATGTGACAGCCATAATTCCATTTTCTTTTAGTTCATACCAGTGGATTCATTTGGACTCTTTTTGAATATATATATTTTGGATCTACAATCTATTTATCAATAGAAATGATTATCCCTGAGTTTATTACTTGTAGGATCAGATGGAACTGCCTAATAATTATGATAAACTTACTGTATTCAAGATTCAAAGAGGGCTTCAATTCATACACCTTGTAACTTTAATTTTACTTAAAGTGGTTGAAAGTCTTTGCCTTTCTAGACACTCATGTGTCTTCCAAAAAATCTCCCCTGTGGAAAAGATTAACATGAAGGATAGAATACCTAATATGGAAAAATGTTCACTACATGTGTGCCTGGTGCCTGTGGAGTCCAGAAGAGGACACTGGATCGCCCTGGAGCTGGAGTTACAAACTATTGTTAGGTGCCATGTGGGTTGTGGTAACTGAACCTGGGTCTTTTGCAAGACCAGCAAGTGTTTTTAACTACTGAGCCATCTCTTCAGCCCCATATAAAACATTTCTTATATACTTATTTCTTTAGGCAATCTCCCTCTGCTAAGCTCCTGTAGCCCCAGCTAGCTGGGAACTCACTATGTAGACCAGGCTGGCCTGGATTTCAGAAATCCACCTGCCTCTGTCTCCTGAGTGCTGGGGTTAAAGGTGTGCACCACCACGCCCAGCTACTTAATTGAATTCTTAGTGTGTGTGACGATTCAGTCATTTGTAAATTCAGAGACTTGCTGTTGCCTCTATCTTTTGGTGAAGGGCGACACTAACAAACAACCATTCTGAAAACTATGGAGCTCATTCTAAGCATAATGCTGATGGAGGAAAAGCACATTAGGGATAGGAATCAGATGATAAGGTATGAACGGAACTAATGTATGGAATTTTTATCAATCATGACAATCTTCTGCTATGCAACACTGAAAAGTGGAAGCTTGCACTCACAAAAATATTGAAAGGATATGATAAGATGACCTGGTTAAACGATTTCTTTTACTTTTGAAAGAAAGAGTCCTTTTCTGTTAAATACCATAAAGGTAATACAATAATTATATCCTTACTTAACAAGATATTCTATTTCTTATTTCAGAAAAGTTCAATGTAACAAGAAAAATGACTGCATAAAGTGTATGAATTTATTTTCAGAAAACAGCCATATGGATAAATATGATTGCAAATAAATATTTTTTCTAATGGAAGGAAAGGTATGTAAGAAGGGAGTGCTCAGCAGTTAAGGAACCATCGCTGGCCTTGGTAATTATCTATCGATCTGTCACCTATCATCTACCTACCATCTATCTATCTATCTATCTATCTATCTATCTATCTATCTATCTATCTATTATTTATCTATCATCTCTCTCTCTCTCTCACCTATCTACACACACATATACATGCACAAATGTATGCATGTATATGTAGAATAATAATCAAGTGGAGAAAAAACTGAGAGGGAGTGACATGACATGGGAGGAGTTGGTGGGGGCCTGGGAGAGATGGAAATAACGCAAAGACAATACTCATGTTTGAAATTCTCAAAAATAAAAATTAAAAGTAAATAAATAAATAAATAAAAATTCAGTAACATGAAACTCACACTCAGAATTGAAAGCAGTTCTTCAGTGCTGCATTCAGGTTTCAAACGGTCCTTGAACATTTTGACTGTTTTATGCTTCAAATAGTAATAGGAGGCAATTCGGCCATATGTCAGTGGCTCAATACTCTGATTATCCTGTTTCAAAATAAGGATAAAATGACATACATGAGAAGTACAATGGAAGTTTGCACTTTACAGAAATTAATAATTTAACTACTCTAACAGTTTTATTAAATTTTTGATATCTCAAGACCTGAAGGCCCTGGAAAATTAGAAGCCATACCTCTCCAATTTCAATACAGTAGGAAAGTTCCAATTCGACTAGGGACTTTTCAATCAGATGGGAAAGAAACTTGTTCACAGAATCATGGCTCACATCACCCAAACTGTAGTAACTAGAAAACAAGCAAGGTTTTGTTTCAAGATTACTGTATGCTAAAACTGCCACAGCAGTTTTACAATTCTTTTCAGCATTTCAAAAGCGTAAATTTACATATTTAGCAAACCAAAAACAACACCTGAGCAACTACGATTACAATTTCTATTTTACTGGTCAAAAATTGAGTGCTAATGTTTGTAGACAATAATGAGGTACTATATTAATAACATGAAAAATAATCAAATAAAATTCTGCATCAAATTAAAAAACTTTCTTGTTTGGTATTAATTTAGTTTATCCATCTATCCCAAAGCAAACTTATGTACCGAATTCAGAAAGTATGAAATGTAAACTTTGGCTGAAATTATATTATACACACATATAGAATTTTAAGTTTCAATACACAGAAAACACAAAGGTTCAACCCTGTATATTTTAAATATATAAGTTGCAAGAAAATGCAACTTACCTGACTATTCTTCACTGTAACACTGAGATGTCCTTTGCAAATCCCCAGGCCACTAGGAATTTGTGCCTGGGAAGAAATCTATGGGGTGAAGGGTACACCTACAATCGCAGTAGTTTCCTAATCCCTACACTGAACTCTACTGGAGTCAGTATGGACAACATTTATATCCTACTTCTTCTCCCATTCAAATAAAGGAGCAGGGGTGAGAAGTGGTCTCAGAACCTTAGGATAGCTATATTCACTAAGACTTCATCATAGTGGCTTTTTATCTGAACAGGACTAGGAAGGGATATTCACTGTCTGGGAAAAGTCAACAATCTCAAATGGAAGAGGCCCATAAGAAGCCACAATCAGAGAGGGATGGAGAAACAGTTCAAAGATGACTGGGAGGCATTTTCAATTTCTTCAAAGGTTAAAATATATTTAGAAATATAGGAAGGGCTGGAGAATGGCTCAGTGGTTAAGAGCACTGTCTGGTTCTTGCAGACGACCAGGGTTTGGTTTCCAGCGCCTGACAAGGCAGCTAACAATTCTCTGTAACTCCAGTTCCAGGGGATCCAACACCCTCTTCTGGCCACAGGGGCACTGCACAACACAGATGCACTTATATCCACGCAGGCAAAACAATCATACACATAAAATAAAAATAAATAAATTAAAAATAGATGAGACAAGAATTAAAATCATGCCAGGATGTATTTTTATTTGAAAGAGAAGTTACTGCAAATGACTAAGTATGCCAAAATATATCCTTCCACTGATAGAGATAAAGATACTATAATTTAAATCACCTAAGTTCATCCAAACTTTGAGTATCCACTGAGGAAAGAATATCAAGGTACTAGATTTTGTTAAGGAAAATAATCTTTGCTAAACATGACATAGTTACTTTTAGTACAAGGAAAAATTACTGCTGTTCAATAAATCAATTAAACAGACAAACACCTCCTATCTTGAACTTCAATATAGAATTACTTGTCAATGAAGAGCTAAGCAAGTACTGAACCCAGTGTATCATTAATAATATAAACAAAATGCTCAAATTCATGTCAAATTAGGCCTATATGGAAGTGAAAAACATGTATTAGAAAAAGTTAGAAACTACTTTCTTTATACAGGAACATGACCAAGTTGGAGTATTTAGTTAGAGCAATTTTTTCTGCTTCAAAGGTGAAAATAAAGATTATGGACATTCAAGGTACCACAAAGAACACAATCTTCCAAATTATTAAAAATATTTCCCTTTCATTTTTATCCCTCAAATAAAATTTATCAAATCTTCTGATTGCAGAAGTACATCCATTCCTTTGGCTTGCTAATCCTGTACATGCTCTAATACTATGCACAACTGTCTTCACTAATACATAATTTAAAAAGTTATTCTTAAATAAAAAATAATAGTAATAATGAGCCCAAGAAAAAACTGTTTTTCATGCAAGTAGATTTATAGAAAACAACATTGCAATGAAACAAAATTAAAATTTCATTTTTATCTATAAGGTTATTAGGTTATTTAATGAATTCTCATGGATACTACTATATATTAGTAATCGTCATTATCATATATATGTATATATATATATAAAACTGGAATATCAACTTGCCATTTCATACTTTTATAAATATGATACACTTGTAGGTAATATTTAAAGTCTGCATTTATTAAAATTTCTATAAAACTATCAGAATTTTTCAGTGTGTATTTTCTTTTGTTTTATTCACTATATTTTATTTACTTTATTCACTATAATGTGTTTTGATGAGTGAATTTCTTTTCTAAATTTTATTTGAGTCTTCTAGGGCTTTTAAAAAGGACTAATCTGCTAAATTCATCCAGATCACAGTCAGTCAGGGGAAACATATCTTAAATATTTAATATTAATCAAAATCATGCCTCTGAGAACACATTATTTGACGATCTCACTGAAGCACTACGTGCAATCTAACTAAACAACAACCAATTTATGTGAGCAGAAATATTAAAAAATTGTTACTGATACTCATTTCTAAATGTGCTCACCAAAGTTCCCATGGGCAAAAATGGAAGAAATATAAATTCAGTTCAAGTAACTAAACTTCACTGATCTTTTATGAAACAAAATTCTTTGTTTACTATCTGGACTGAAGGCAAGGACGTTTAAAATATTAAAAATCCTATAAAGTATATAGTTGCATCATAATCAGATATATAATCTATGACAGTGTAAAGTAATATAAATGTAATTCAATTATGTTTTAGGGCACATAAAATTTTGAGAGTTAATACATTCTGATGATCCAATTAGTAACACAACATGCTCCTACAAGTAACATTCTTATATTAATAATGAACTTTTTAGATATGGAACAAGTTTAAGCACTTAGCTTAAAATAGGACACATCATGAATTTCAATAGGCACGTTACTAACTTGAAAAAGCATGCGACAGTTAACAGTCTGTTTTCACATTATACACTCCACAGTACAACATGTACAATTTTCTGTTTAAGCAGAAATTTTATACAACTGTTTAATTACAGCTAAAGGGTAAAATGCAGTTTCATGCTCACTGCATCGAATCATCAAGTAATTATCGTCCCTTTGCTGTAAACGGACAGCCTACCTTTTTGTCAGCATGCTATTTCATTTATTTCACAGAGAAACCCAGTTTCACAATAATTGACTTGTCAGAAGCTCTAATTTATGAGACTGAGCTCTGTAAGATTTCTCTGTATTGGACTCAACCTGCACACAAACAGGGCCGAATATTTACAATGCTGTTAACAGGTGCTGAGCTGTTTAATGATTCTAATAGCCAGAAGCGTACCGAGAAAGCCAGCAGGATCACAATTACAGGCTGTTTGAACACAATTACTAGTCCCCTGAGAGGTGGGAAAGTCAAAGACAGTTTGGTACTGACAGCATCTAGCACATGGGCTAGGCAAGCTAACTTCTATTAGCAATCCATTGGGAAAAAGTCATAACAAATCGCTCCCTGTCATAAAAATTCACTGAGTCCATAAAATTTAAACAATCAAAACCTAACACAACTTTAAAAAATATCCCTAGAAGATCTTATCAAAACACAAACAAGAACTATACACATGAAACCTTATCTTTTTATGAATCCTAATACAGATGAAATTTCACCAGTTAGGAATGAAAGAGATTTTATACTAATGTAAAAACACAGATAAAGTTATAGCAAACAGTTTGGATTTAATGTGAACAGTGGCAGTCATTTCCTTTTTGGTTTATGTAAACCTGACCAGATACCTTGCTTGGAAATTTCTCATCAGCATTGAAATGCAGCTGCAATAACTGTCAGTGCCTGAGAAGTCATTTGTTACAATACCATGCTTTTTATGTTCAGATTATGCAGCAGTAATAATAACACAAATAATGAAAGTGGTTGCAGGGATGGCTGAAACAACCACATTTTTGCCCCAGGTATATTTAAAACCTGAAAACTGAAAACACAAATTGAATCAAAACCCAACTTGGAATATTTATAAAATATGTGTTTATATACATTTGAACAAGAGAATGCATATATGTATGTGTACATATGTTTACATAACTATATCATCCTAAATATGTATTTATATTTGCATACATAATACATGCATAAATACTTGCACACATGTGTAAATATGAACAGGTATATAGCTGGCAAGTCAGAAATAGTTGTTGAAATCTTTGTCAGTCCAAGTTTTACTTTTGGTGTGGTGTAGTGTGGGCTTTGCAGCAGTGACATGATTAACCGAAGGGGGTCAGGGAATCAGGTCATTCTTATATATCTATTGAGAATTATCTATTCAAGGCTGTCTTTTGGAAAACAGTATTTCTTCTCTATCGTTAAATAAATCTTTTCACACACACACACACACACACACACACACACACACCTGCACATGCATGGAAACAAGATTACATATGTACCCCGTCCACCCAAGCTAAGTTATGCCATCAGAGGAGAGGAAGCATTAAGGAAAAGTTAAAATTATACATAATACAGCCCTTCATTTGGGAAAATGACTTTAGACACTTAAAAAATTGCAAATTTCTTCAACTCCTATTTGTTCCAAGCTGTAGGGATAAATGATTTTAAAAGAGATGATAATTTAAGAATATATCATCAGAGGCCAGTCGTGGGGATGTAAAGAAAAGGAAGTCCTGTGCATCGTTGGTAGAAATGTAAATTAGTACAGTCATTTTGGAAAACGGTGAGGAAATTCCCTCAAAACCTAGAGACAGAATTATCATACTGGTTCTATATCCAAAGGAAATGAAATCAGTATGCTGAAGAAACCTGTACTGCTACAGTCATCTCAGCATTATTCACAATAGCCAAGATTAAAAAAAACCTAAATGTCTACCAACAGATGAAATAAACAAACAACATATTTGGATATTAGGCCTAATTAATACCCTTTATCTCATGTATATGCTATTTCTTTGTAATGACTTTTAAAAGAATATTTTACTACTTTTTACATTTTATTTATTTATGTTTATATGTATGAATATTTTGCCAGCATGTATTGTAAGTGCAATAAACAAACAAG